AGTTGTTGGGGAAGGAGTTAAGTTTTAAAACGTATTTTAGACAGTTTTTGTTTCCCATCAAAGATCACAAGTCCTGATGATGTACTTTTAATCATCATGTGTACCGCTAGACGTGTCATCTTTCACGACTATTTCGTCCTTATCACCTGTTGAGAATAGATTTAATGTCTTGCATAAGAAAAGAACGTCACGCAACGGATAACGTGTTTGCACAAAATCCATTAGCTCGTGGTAGCTCTGTGGCGACAGAGGAATCTAGAACTGGTAGATATTGTACACATTTAAATGTGTTTATATCACAATATCGAACAATTGGTGCTAATTAGAAGCTAACCACATTTTACAAACTAACGTGAGGAACACGTTTCTAGAAGCTTATTTGTTAAAAAAAAATATACCACACCTTACTTAATGCTCATGATTTGCAAATTGAATACTGTTTTATTTAATCAACAGGACTGTTCCTTTAAGAAATATTTCTGAATACTGTTTTATTTAATCAACAGGACAAATATTTCTTAAAGGAACAGTCCTGTTGATTAAATAAAACAGTATTAGAGATATTTCTTAAAAGAACAGTCCTGTTGATTAAATAAAACAGTATTCAAAAATATTTCTTAAAGGAACAGTCCTGTTGATTAAATAAAACAGTATTCAGAAATATTTCTTAAAGGAACAGTCCTGTCGATTAAATAAAACAGTATTCAAAAATATTTCTTAAAGGAACATTAAAGGAACAGTCCTGTTGATTAAATAAAACAGTATTCAAAATATCTCTGTACACTGTTTCATTTAATCGATAAGACTGTTCCTTTAAGAAATATCTCTGAAAACTTTTACCAGTAAACATTGCCAACAACTATCAACTGGGCAATAAATCTTACATAGTATGAAACTCAGTTCTATATAAGCTAGGATGTTTTCTGTTATGATTTGACTTCATTTTTTTAATCAATATTGAAACGTGCTCTCTCATTCTATTTCTTACTATACTGCTAAAAACATTTGTACTTTTTATTTTATACTTATATCTTTTTCAGTGATTTTCCAGTTCTTGGGTGTTTGTATGGATACACAATGTATTCACTTTGCATCAATTTGTACTGATTTAGGTAGTCTAGAACCATTATTTTCAAGTCTAAATGAGGGCTGTTGATATCCAGGATTGGAAGAATACATGGTTGTTTTAATTATTAATAAAATACGATTTGAACAGGAAAAGGGATAGGTTAACATCCTGTCTGTTTGAATTTTTAGATTCTGTTTATCTGAATGATTCATAGTCTAGTATTTACGATACAATGAGAACTGAGAAATACCGATTTCGGTTTTAAAAACGCTTTTGGCGTACCTTATTGTTCCTGAATTAAAAGTTTACAAAATGAAGCAGTTGTAAAGTTAAGGTAAATAAGTTATTTTCTCTGTAAACCGAGACGTTGCATCGTTCATAACTTAAAAATTCTTTTTGTTTGTGGAGTAATATTTCGTACTACCTTTTTCTGAAAATATTAGTTGTTTCTGCACGTATAAGCCTTACTCAATTACCAACCCTGCCGGGCAATACGTAGTAGGTTGGTTGGATTTCAATTTCGCGCAAAGCTACACAAAGGCTATCTGCGCTAGCCGTCCCTAATTTAGCAGTGAAAGACTAAAGGGAAAGCAGCTATTTATCACCGCCAACCGCCAACTCTTGGGCTACTATTTTACCAGTGAATAGTGGGATTGACCGTCACATTATAACGACCCCACGGCTGAAAGGGCGAGCATGTTTGGTGGGACGGGAATTCGAACCTGCGACCTCAGATTGCGATTCGAGCGCCCTAACCACCTGGCCATGCCGGCCCTGGGCAGGACGTGGCATAGTAGTGGTGTTTTGTGCTGGGCTGCAGACTGAACGGCCTAAAATTTGTACCACAATACTGCTAAAAAAAGTTTATTTACCTAAACGACACTGGATAAGAATACGTCGTCTTTCCTTCTTTACTTACCTAAACGACACTGGATAAGAATACGTCGTCTTTCCTTCTTTACTTACCTAAACGACACTGGATAAGAATACGTCGTCTTTCCTTCTTTACTTACCTAAACGACACTGGATAAGAATACGTCGTCTTTCCTTCTTTACTTACCTAAACGACACTGGATAAGAATACGTCGTCTTTCCTTCTTTACTTACATAAACGACACTGGATAAGAAAGTATTGAAATATAAGTGTAGTAAAATTCCTTTAAATAAGGTAATTTAGTCTCTCAGGGTTATTGTTTTATAACTTCTAACACATCTATGTTTTTTGCCGATGAATTTTTCAGATGTCTCCTGATGATTCAGCAGTAAGCTTGCGAGCAAATAACGCTAACGTTCTGGGATTGATACCTGTGGTGGGCACAACGTAGATTGCTCATTTTGAAGCTTTGTACTTAACACAAAAACAAATGAAATAGCCAGCTAATATGTAAATCATTTATTCAATTTCCAAAAAACCAATGAAATATCTAGACAATATGTAAATTATTTGTTTAATTTCCAAAAACAAAAACAAATGAAATATCCAGATAATTTGTTTAATTCATAAAAAAAACTAAAAAAAAACAAATGAAATATATAGATAATTTGTAGATTATTTGTTTAATTCCTAAAAAAATGAAATAACAAATAATATCTTTTTATTTTTTAGGAATTAAACAAATAATCTACAAATTATCTGGATATTTCATTTGCTTTTTTTTTAGTTTCTTTTAAGAATTAAACAAATAATCTACACATGAAATACCCAGATAATTTGTAGATTTGTTTAATTCCAAAAAACAAATGAAATATCTTGATAATTTGTAGAATATTTGTTTAATTCCTAAAAGAACAAAAAAAACAAATAAAATATCCAGATAATTTGTAGAATATTTGTTTAATTCCTAAAAAACAAAAAAAAAAATCTAGATAATTTGTAGAATATTTGTTTAATTCATAAAAAAACAAATGAAATATGTAGATTATTTGTTTAATTCCTAACAAAACAAAAAATTAAACATCCAGATAATATATAAATTATTTGTTTAGTTCACATCTTTCTTTTCTAACCTCAGTTGAAATTATCGCTAGTTCTTTTATGTTCAGCAGCACTTGTTATCTTATTATTATTATTGTACTTTAGAAATTGGACGAATCACTTACTTCATGGTAAATACAGTTATAGGTCAACAAACAAATGAGAACACAGGAATGTTACGTTGCGTTAGCAACCACAGTTATACTCAGTAAATATTAATTACATCAACGAGTTTAAGCCTAATCGAGTTGAACTTTCCTTTTAAAATCCAAAATCTTATACCTAAAATAAATCCTATAAATATCACGTTTCTTTCCTATTTTCAACAGTACCTTATTACACACGAAAGAGAAAATTATTCATTTTAAGTCTCATGTATGATACAAGTGTAAAAATGATCCCCTTATTCAACAACGAATAAGATGAAATCAGCTAACATGCGTTTGACTTATGTTATAAAAATATTTAAGACGATTGATCATTAGTATTCATTACTTACTCGTGGTTTGCTTATCTAGAGTGTAATGTAAATATATGTCTCCTTATCTATTGCTACATTATACTGACAAAATCAATTTGATCAATAACAGTATTCTTGATGTAACATTTTATGTCAATAGGTAGAGTTTGATCAACAACACTATTCTTGATGTAACATTTTATGTCAATAGGTAGAGTTTGGTCAACAACACTATTCTTGATGTAACATTTTATGTCAATAGGTAGAGTTTGATCAACAACACTATTCTTGATGTAACATTTTATGCATCAAGAATAGTGTTGTTGATCAAACTGTACCAACTGGCATAAAATGTTACATCAAGAATAGTGTTGTTGATCAAACTGTACCAACTGGTATAAAATGTTACATCAAGAATAGTGTTGTTGATCACACTGTACCAACTGGTAACATTTTATGCCAGTTGGTACAGTTTGATCAACAACACTATTCTTGATGCAAGTTTTATGTCACTGGCTTATGGAGAGACAGTTAAAAAATAACAAATAATTAGAATATAAACGAGATATTTTTCTGGTGGTGAAATGGTAATATTTCTAAAGTTGACAACAAGATATCTCAGTTGATAAAAACGAAATACGAAACTATAGATTTGAACAATGAGCTCCTGTTGAAAATGACAGTCGAGTTTTGATCCTATGCATAAAATAATGATAATACGGGATTGTTGAATTTTCACTTCTTGAAATTACATTTAAATTGTTTTATTTATCAACGTTGTAACACACGCCCATTGAGATTGAAAGACATATGTTAATGTTATTTGCTGTGGTTTAAAGTAACCAGAATGTGAAACTGTTCGAATTTCTTATTCGTATATTCTTAATAGATTAATGACTCTTTTCAACTCCTTTCAGTACAAGTTAATAATGATCCCCCCTAGATAATTTAAAGAGAAACTAAGAAATGGCAAGATTGCAATTTCCACTTCTCGATGAGTTTTTAAGATAATAATAAAAAGTGAAGACTTCCAAAAACTTGGTTAGGTATTAGGTACTATTCAAATACAAAATGATTCTTCAGCTTTGGATTTTTTTTTACCCTGGAAAGTGAATAAAGTCATAAAAGAATTTTTTTTATAGTAAACCGTTTCGAAGAAGAGATAATTCAACCCAGTTAGGGCGCAATTTAGCAATTAATAAAGTGCTGCTAAAGTTAAGATATGGTAATATCCTAATACATTGAGGATAAAACACGCAAGTTATTTCATTAAGTTTGTTTAGCCCTAATGAGCTCTTGCTGATCTTGGAACTTTTAAGCTTCTAATGTCCATAGAAATACTTTTTGCTATAAAAGAATAAATACGTATTTGAGATTCCAACGAAAAATGTAATTGATGAGAGGTAATTAGTCTAGTCATTCTTAGGACGAAAAGTAACTCCAAAGTAAAAATTTCATCATATTTATTTGAAAGATAAAAAAAGAGCTAAACTTACTTGAAATAGCAAAAGATGAAAAAGGTTATGCACAGGAAAAAGAGAGAAAGGAGGGACCCAATAAGTAAAATGTAGCTCACCACCAGAGGGATTGAAGGGAGTTCATTCTGTGTTAAAAGGAGAATAATACAAACATCAGTCATCTTCCTACCTATATGATGTTAAGAAGCAACGAATTTCAAAATTAAACACATCTTCTTCTTCTTACCTCCAGTATCTTTGGACATAAATTCTCTAAAATCCATATTACAGTCGACCAGTCTTGGGATGAATCATGAGAAATATGTCTTCCATTGTATTTATAAAGGCATACATCAGAAAGAAAGAGACGAACTCAGATCTTGACAAAACAATATCATGACTAATATAATTTACGCAAAAGACAAAGAAAAGGTAAGAAAAGCACATACCTTTCACATTCTTAACTTTTGGAAATTTTCTTGCCAATTTTTTAATGTGTTTAAATTTAATTAGTATCTTGTTTAACGAGGTAGTGGTGGCAATTGTTTTTGTGAAGTGAGAGAGTTCACAATGACTGAAGCTGTTTGATCTGTAAACGTGAACATTGGTGTAAACAAAACACTATTGTAGGTTTGAGGACTCCAATTGACTGCAAGTGCCTGTTGAAAGAAAAGGAGACGATGTTTCGGCTTCTATATTGAGGCCTTCTTCTGTATAGAAGCCGAAACGTTCTCTCATTTTCTTCTGTATAGAAGCCGAAACGTTCTCTAATTTTCTTTAAAAGACAACTGAAGTCCATTAAAGTGCTCAAACCTACTGTGTCTGTTCTATCTAAAGTTCCACTGAAACAAAAACAAAAAAATCTAGAACTTTAATGGCGCTCTTCGGAACCACGACCTCTAAAGGGCATTTACTGACAACTTAATGGTTCCTTCCGGCATCATAACCGGTCAGCATGACCAGATTATTGGCATTACCAAGGTGAGTGATCTTTCACAAAATAAGAACTCCAATCTCTTTGTCATAACTTTCAAGTAATGGTACTAGATATGCTCCAGAAGACACGGCCTCATTAACAAGGTACTCGAAGAAGCACTTTCTATTAAAACAACTATCATATATAATGGGTCGTTTGAAATAAGATGAAAAGTGTGTTATGTACACTTTTAAATTGCGTATAATTATCACTCTACCCTAGTCAATTTTTTTTTTTTTTTTGCTGGACATTTGATTGAGTTTGAAAATGAAGGTTAATTCTATGGTTACATTGACCAAACTTGTACCAAACAAAAACGTATACACATCAAAAACATTGTTAGACTATCTTCATTTAGTTGTTATCAAAGAGCAATTCGCCATTAAGTAATTTTGGTGTCGTTGAAATTATTTTTAAACATTTTGCAAGAAAATTTGTAAGTCAAATTTAATTGTTAGCGAGTGTGAATAGCTTTCATATTTCAGCATTATGTTGATAAAAAAATTTAAGTTTATAGTCTGGTTTGTACAGATTACTTTTCCTAGTATTATCATGGTACTTGTAATTTTTGATTTGAAGATTTGCATCTTAGTCACATAAGCTGGTACAACAAGGAACAAAGATTTCAACTATAAGATAATTAAAAGTAGTAAGCCAGGAAATAAGAAATAAAATAAACTAGTTAGAGCAATTAAATGACGTAATGTAACTGTTTGTTCACCATTTACATTTTCATGTCAGTAAACTATCGTTAAATGCACAGCCGTACTAAACATAAACTTGTGTTACATAGCTTATGGCACAGTTTAGTCTTACTAAACCCAAACTTGTGTTACAAAGATAAAAGTAATAAAAACATCTTGCAAACCTAAAATGATGTAGGGATGGCAGTGTCAAAAAGAATGCAAACAAGAATATAGGGATGGTACAGCTATACATAGATCATCCCTACATAACTTTCAATGTTAAAATTTGATGTTACACTTAAAATACACGAGTGCAAAATGGTTACGAGGTCAGTCAATTCGACCGACCTGGCAGCGAGAGTCTGTAATAATCAAGATATGTTTGACTCAACTTCGTTATCCTTGTACGTAAGTCCTAGGTTCTTAGTTGCACCACAATGATGCCTACCCTGACATAACCATGATATTATTATAAACAAATTGCATACCAACAGTCAGGAATATATAAGTTCCAATTGCAGTAATATTAAACCCAAGTATACATTTTACAGTGTAACATTAAATTATAATATTGAAAGTCATGTAGGTATGATTATGTATAGCTGTATCATCCCTATATTCTTGTTTGCATTCTTTTTGGCACTGCCATTCTTACATCACTTTACATTTACAAAATGTTTTTATTACTTGTTTTGTGACATTGTTTCCCCTGTCTGAAAGTTAGTATATTCTACGAATGTGTGTGTAGTAAAATTCAATATTATGTGTATTGATTTTGTTATTCCTTCATTTCATACATAATATAGGGGTTGGGTCCCTAAAGACACCGACTGTAAAGTGTACAAAGCATTGAGTATTCTATATGTTACACTCATCTAATGTTCATCTATTATTGGCTGGTAATTCCTGTTTCACCCTGTACATAAGGCTTTTTAATAGAACAACAGATTTCTGTAAGAAATCTAGCTTTAAGGGATAATGATAACATTGTTTACACTAGAATTACGTTTTATTTAATTACTACTAGTTATTACGACTAAGCAATAACATCGTGCACTGCCCGGAAACACATAGAGTGGATTTAGATTTAAACTAACATTAGTGACAAAGTAGCTGCAGAGTTATCTCGACTGGAGGAGAAAAATTAACAATTTGGTGGGATTGTCACTCAGTCGAGCACCGCCACGCACTGTTGATCATATTCGGCTCTCAAAAATACAAAAATGTGTCCGTATGTCCGTTTTTATCAACGGACACGGACTAATTTTGGCAGGACAATGAAGAATAATATTCTACACATGTCCACCAAGATTCATTAAAAATCCGATAATTTTTCACTGAGTTGTAGAGCAAAAATAGTGTAAAAAACTGACCCATGTTAACAGATAGGGATTTTTTGGATTTTCGTAACCTCGCTGTAACCTTGACCTTTGACTTTGACGCTCCAAAATTTAATCACTTCTCAGTTGGATCATAGTTCAAATTTATATCAACTTTCCTCCAAATCCGTTTAGCTGTTATCGAGAAAACTTGAGTAACAGACCTTGAAATGAGCTCATGTTATGTTGTAATAGATTTTAGTGCTTATCCTTTACGTTTCATCACTAGCCTGTTTTTAATTATAGACTTCTTTAAATGGTAAAGGTATGTGGGAAATAAAACAATAGATCGTGTTATGAGATAACAAAAGTATTTCAAAAATTCAGAAAACTATTCTCAACTTTCTACTGGCAGTTTAATTAGTTTTATGGTTGATTGCTTTCTGATCTTATTAAATTCTTCAATACATTCTTTTAAACCATGATTGGGATTTAATATGTCAGTAGGATTTAACTCTCTAACGTGTATGTTATGCTGTATGACATGTAGGACAGAGTTTATATCCAAAAATGAAGTTCACAAAATTACCAAAATTAAACTACTTATTTATTCACTTTTAGATTCGTGTTGGAAATGAATATTTTTTTTTTAATATTAAAAATTCACTGCTTTATATAAGTCTTAAATACTTTTAGTGAACGATTAATATATATTTATAGTTCAGACATGAGCGTTATCACCTCCCCGAAAACACGAATTGTTCAAATTTCGATCACCATTCTTCCCCTCAATCACTCATGGTTAATGTTTAATTAACTGAAACTAATTAGCAATTTGGTAAATTGTGAAATGCTTGAAATTATCAGTTAAACAGTTTGTAGAAGAACATATGTCAGTAGGAGGAGCCTCCGGTGGCACAGCTATAAGTCTGCGGTTTCGATACTGGTGGTGAGCACAGCACAGACAGCCCATTGTGTAGCTTTGTGCTTAACTACAAACAAATAAACAGTAGGAGGAACGACTAGTTTCAGATGTTATACTACATGGAAGACAGAGGGACAGTAACTAATAAAGAAACTTACAGATGGCTGGATACCCCATGTATGGTGAAAGAGAGCAGACTAATCTATCGATATGAATGTTTCGTGACGTTTAAGTTTATCGTATTTAAAAACAAAATGACTTATTGCTGCATCTATTTTATATTCGATCACAACTTGATAGACACAGTGACACGAACGTTTTTTTTTTAAATGGAATTAATAAAGATAAAGTAGGGATGAAGGAAGTTTGAAAATATTTGTTCTGTAACGTGACTAATCCTGACAAAACAGAAGTGAGTATGATTTTAATATTGTGACATAAGTGAGTTGATGCAAGTAGTAAAACGGAAGAAGGTATAGTGTTTCGGTGACAGAAGTGAGTTGATGCAAGTAGTAAAACGGAAGTGGACGTATTGTTTCGGTGACAGAAGTTGATGTAAGCAACAAAACTGAAGTGGACTTATTGTTTTGGTGACGGAAGTGAGTTGATGCAAGTAGTAAAATGGATGTGGACGTAACGTTTTGGTGACAGAAGTTGTTGCAAGTAGTAAAACTGAAGTGGACTTATTGTTTCGGTGACAGAAGTTGATGTAAGTAACAAAACTGAAGTGGACTTATTGTTTTGGTGACAGAAGTGAGTTGATGCAAGTAGTAAAACGGAAGTGGACGTATTGTTTCGGTGAAGGAAGTTGATGTAAGTAACAAAACTGAAGTGGACTTATTGTTTCGGTGACGTGAGATTTATGCAAGTAGTAAAACGGAAGTGGATGTATTGTTTCGGTGAAGTGAGTTGATGCAAGTAGTAAAACGGAAGTGGACGTATTGTTTCGGTGACAGAAGTAAGTTGATGCAAGTAGTAAAATGGAAGTGGACGTATTGTTTTGGTGACAGAAGTGAGTTGATGCAAGTAGTAAAACGGAAGTGGACGTATTGTTTCGGTGAAAGAAGAAGTTGATGCAAGTAGTAAAACGGAAGTGGAGTTATTGTTTTGGTGACAGAAGTGAGTTGATGCAAGTAGTAAAACGGAAGTTGACTTATTGTTTTGGTGACAAAACTTTAGTAGTTATAGGTGGTTAGGTAGGTTATTTGTATTATTATTGTTATCATGTTGGTCACGTGTT